GTGTACCTCATGTGCCAGCTTGTGGGTTGCTATGATGCTAAACACACTTCAGCAGAATTTCTAGACTAAGACCAGGAAGAAAGGCCTGGCAATCTACTTCCAAATTCCAAAAATCAGCCAACAGAAACCCTATGGATCACAAAAGTCCAATCTGCAACCAATCACGAGGATGGCTCAGCACCAGTCAGTGTTTTGCTCTGTTACACATGGAGTCACCATGAGTCAGGGTTGAGTGACGGAAGCCAACAGTGACATCTCTGAGCGATGGGATAGTGAGGCCCATATTTTCTTCTATATAATTTTTAAGATTTTCTAAATTTTTGAAATATGCATTGCTTTAATACAGGAAAAATATTTGTATGTATTTTTTTGTTTTGTTTTTTGAGAGGCTAGAGGCTGACAATATCTAGATCCGCATGTAACTCATGGTTGGGGAAATGGCACAAGGAGGAGTTTCATAGGCTGCTAAAGGCCGTATGTTGTGCCCAATGCCTTTACTTTAGCTTCCTTACAGTCTAGAATACTAAGGTTTCTAGAGGGAGAGAAATAAACACTTCGTTTATTAAGTTCCAAAGAGGTGCTAGGGCAGGGTGCAGGGGGGACTTGGGCCAATCTGCAGCAGCTTGCCAAAGAACCCACATCCATTGCTGTCAAGTAGATTCTGACTCATAGTGACCTATAGGACAGAGCAGAACTGCTCCCAGAGGATTTGCAAGGCTGTAAATGGAAGCAGACTGCCACATTGAGTGGGTTCAAACCTCCAGCCTTTTGGTTAGCAGCCACGTGCTTATTTGCCAAACCAGAGTAAAAGCTCCAGAATCACAATAGGCCCCACCTGTGCACCACCAGAGGTTGGTATTCATTCATACCGGGGTTTCTCCACATAAGAAGGGAAAGAGAAGGTGAGGTGTATGTAGGTGCCCCATCTACAACTCATGTCAGGCCTTTCTCTTTCTGCCATTTTCTCTGGCTGTTTTTGCTTTTTGTTGTTTTTAAGTTTATTGTGGTAATATATATAACATAACATTTGCCATTTTAACCATGAAGTGTACAACTCCGTGACATTATTTAATTCACCATGCTGTGCAACCATCACTATTAATTTTCAGATGTTTTTCATCACCCCAAACAGAAATTCTCGAACCCTCTGTACTTCTCCCCACTTCTCCCAGTCCCTGGTAACCTCTAATCTACTTTCTATTTTTATGCATTCTACGTATTTCATGTAAATGGAATCAAACAATATGTGGCCTTTTGTCTCTGCATATTTCACTGAGTAGGATGTTTTCAAGGTTCATCCATGTCTAGCATGTATCACAACTTCATTTCTCCTTATGGCTAGATAATACTCCACTCTATGTATGTACCACATTTTGCTTATCCATTTATCTGTTGAGGGGCTTTGTAATGCTACCATCAACACTGGTGTAACAGTATCTATTTGAATGCTTGTTTTCAATTCTTTTGGGTATATCCCCAGGAGTGGAGCTGTTAGATCATATGGTAATTCTGGAACTCCTGGATGGTGTAAACAGTTAACGCGCTAGGCTGCTGAGAGGCTGGAGGTTCGAGTCCACCCAGAGGCACTTCAGAAGAAAGACCTGGTGATTTACTTCTGAAAAATCAGCCACTAAAAACCCACTGGAACACAGTTCTATTCTGCCATACACAGGTCGCCAATCCAGAATCAAGTTGATAGCAACTGTGTATTTGCTTTTTTTAAAAATATATGATCTGTAATGGCCTTTCCAGAAATGACAGCTGCCAAATTTCTCCCCACAGGTTCTTCTGCTGACTTCCATCTCCCTCTGAACTTGCTGATGTGTGTGGTGCATACTGAACAGCACTGTCAACAGGAATATAAAGAATAAAAACGGGTAAAATAAATTTTAATAGTATATTTTTATTCAACCCCATATAGCCAAAATATTATCATTTCAACATGTAACCAATATAAAAAATTACTGAGTTTACACTCCTTTTTCAGTACTAAGTGTGTATTTCACATTTTCAAAACATCTCAGTTTGCTCTAGCCACATGTCAGGTGCTCAGAAACCACATATGACTAATAGCTACTGCCTGGACAGTTCAGTGGTAAGTCTAACAAGGAAGCCTCCCTTCACGTCTGACCTCGTTAAGCCCAGAGGTAAGGTGAAGACCTACACCCTTAGAAAAGGCCAAGGTTATTGGAGCAGTTTTGGTGTGGAGTTCCTCATCTGACTAGACAGGCAGCTGGGCTGGTTATCAGACAGCACTGCACAGTTCCAGAGAAACATAAAACTAACAGCCTAGAGGTGTGCAGGCCGAACAATACTGGAGAACTTCAGAAGAGATGGGCAGAAAAATACGTTGGATGTAACTGGGTCTTCTTTATATCCAGGGTTCTCACAACACAAAACCCCACATACTCACCAGAAGAACACAGACCTCTTATCGTGTCAACTATCTTGGTCCATTCTGTTAAACATCTCTGAACACCTAACGCCAGATGCTCTGTTGGGCACTGGGGATGCAGCTGGTGCTAGAGGCAGCTACTATTCATAAGAACGCTTGTCTGGGGCAGGGTAACATGCTAAGCATGTCATCAGCATGATCTCATTTACTCATCAAAAAATCCCTATGAAATAAGAAGTCATTTACAGATGAGAACACTGAGGTGAAAGAGGTTAAATCACTTTCCCATAGTCACACACCTAATGAACGGCTAGGCAGAGATCCGAATTCAGATATACAAACCTGACCCCCAAGCCTATGCTCTTAACCACAACAAGCCACACTCCCCAGTTTCAAAGAGCTCATGGTTACTGGGGGCAACAACAAATTTCACAGTAAGAGCATGGAGTCACTGCCACGAAAAGATATGAAACAGCGGCCTGGTAACAAAGGGCACTGGGAAAGAATTCCCTTAAGTCTTAAAAGTTGAGGAACTCATCAGACAGAAAGGGGGCTGGGTACTCCAGAGAGCATAGAAGGGCGAGGAAGTGTGTGGTATTCAGAAAACTGTAACTAGCTGTGCAGTTGGAGGGCAACATGCCTGAGGAACAGAGGTAGTGGGTGAAAGTGGAGGGGTCAGCTGAAACCACTGCCTCAAGGACCTTAATTGCCATGAAGCAGAGTCTGGACTTTATCTTGTGGGCCATTTGGAAGCCATTAAAAAGTTTTATCTAGGGTCCTAAACAAAACTAGTTTCATGTTAGAGAAATTATCCTAAAGGAGGAGTCTCAAAAGTTAACTGCCTCCCTTTCTCTCCCCAGAGTTCTAAGCTCCATTTAAAAGACCATATCTAAAACCACACATTTGTTTCCTACAGAGTTGGAACACTCCCTAGGGATCTAATTATCCCAAGGACCTGTGAGTTTTATTTACTCTACTTATTTTCCTAAAAAGAAGTTGTTCACTTGTAACCCCTGAAAATCAACCAAGAAAAACCAAACCCAATGCCATCATGTCAATCTCAACTCATAGCAACCCTACAGGACAGAGTAGAACTGCCCCCAGAGGGTTTCGAAGGCTGTAAACCCTTACAGAAGCAGACTGCTACATCTTTCTCCTGAGAAGTACCTGGTGGGTTTGAACCACTGACCTTTCAGTTAGTAGCCAACTGCTTTAACTATTATACCACCAGGCCCCCTTAAACAAGGAAAAGACCTTCTATACTCTTGGCATCAACACTGACTGAGGTCCCAAGGTGGTGTGGTCTTGCTTGGCTGGCCTTCAGCTGCAGAAAGGACAGCCCCTATTGGAGACTTCCACAATCCTGACAGCACAGGGGTGCTTTGCCACATGTACTTGCATAGCAGCCTGTAAGATTCTGTGACAGGTGACAGAAAATGCAGAAACTACTTAAGCTGCTCAAATGCAAAGGCTCAAAGCCTACTCCTCCTCAGGTTTTACTGTTCACTGCCTGCAAATCTCCCATCTCCTCTCAGGCCAAAGTGAGCCCCACCCCCTCCAGGCATCCCTTCAAGCTCACCTGATTACCCAGTTCCATTTTCAGCTCCTTGGCCTCTGAGGCTGGCCTACTTCTCAAGGCCACACAAGTGGAAAAACTTGTGCATTATACAAACAATAGCACATAACTAGGACAACAGGACATAGAAAGGGGGAACATGCACCAGTGTGTACTAAGGAGGCAAGGATACAGGCAGAAGCTGTGGAACAGTCACTGGACAGAGTATAAAAATACTCCTGCTGGGCAGGAGGAGAGATTGGCAGTAGGGAAAGGGTAGGTAGAGATACTGAATGTAATAGAGCAGGACTTGGCAACTGACAACCTGGAAAACTGAACTGAAGACCAAGAGGCACTGAGCAAGATCACTTTACCCAGGGATAAGAGCTGAGCAGTCTCACTTTTGTTTTCGACAGTCAACTGGGTGGTTCTGGAAGCCATGCCCTGGGTCTGAACAGTGAGAGGCCTGAGCAGCTGCAGGACCACGGGAATGGTGCATTGATACATAACCAGACCAGATCTGCCGAGAGGAGCACAGGGGAGAAGAAAGAGGCCCTCGCAGGTTTCACTCTGGCTAACTAATGGCCTGATTTTCAGAGAGAGATTTTTCAAGTAAGTAAAAGGCCAAAGGTCACTCCATCAGGGTTTTTCTGAACTTTCAACTTCATTAACACTCGGACCTACAAAATCTACCCCTTGCCTTTGCCGATAAGATGGAATACTTTTCATGGGTGCACTGCCCCTTCCCAAACCTCTCTTTCCAAGGGGCCTCTAGGTGTAACGGGGCCTGTTTTAGAAGAGTTGTGCCCTCTGGTCCCACTTTGTTTCCACATTACCCACTAAAGCCAGGCAAAGTGGGGTGCACAGGGGAAGACATTCATGCAACAAGACACAGTTCAATTGACTGGGTCAGTTCTTTCTGGAAGTAGGCTGGTGCTACTCCCACAGAGGTCCGACCCCAACAGGGAATAGGCCACCATGGATGAATGACTCCGATTCTGTCGTGGCAGAGTGGGGAACGGAGAGATTGAGGTGAATGGGGCAGACCACTCAGTCCTGGACAGGAAGCTGGTAGAGGGGCGAAAACATGGCCTCCCGGATCCGATGGAAGATCTGAGCCAACTTGACCAGGAAAGGCAGGGAAGAAGGAGACGCTGCAGGGAAAAGGGAAGACTATCATCGTGAACATTCCTTCCTCACTCCCCTCATCCTCACTCAGTCCCATCTCCCACCCCTTGGAATCTTAGGATTATGCATAATTTTTTAAAAAATATCTTTATGCTTAACGTTATTTGCTCCTCCTCCCATACCCAACAATGAGGAACTTCATTTTCTCTAGGATATATCCTCTGGGATGTATTTTCTTCATTTGAGTTATTGTTGTTGTTGTTATGTGCCATCGAGTCAAACCTGACTCATAGCGACCCCTCCTTGGGTTTCCGAGGCAGTATCACTACGGAAGTAGGATTGCCCAACCTTCCTTCCGAGGAGTGGCTGGTGGGTTTGAACCACCAGCCGTCTGGTTAGCAGGCAAGTGTCTTAGCCACTATGCTACCAGAGCTCCCATTGAGTTATAGTGACTTTAAATTTGCTGAGAAAGAGATGCAAATTTATTATGTTTCAATCTAACTTTTATCAAAAAGTTAAAACAACTGATAACAGTGGCTCCTCTAGGAAGGTAAGTTTGGGCAGTTTTTGTACCTTAAAAGGTACAAAAATTTAAAAATTTTGAGTCACGTGACATTACTTATCTTCAGGATGTTGTTATTGATGTGAGCCACTGCATCAATTCTGACTCATAGTCATACCATGAGACAGAGCAGAGCCGCCCCACTGGATTTTCTTGGCTGTAATCTTTATGGGACCAGATCTCCAGATCTTTCTCCTGTGGAGCCACTGGGTGGGTTTGAATTGCCAACCTCTCTGTTAACAGCTGAGCACATAACTGTTGTGCCACCAGGGTACCTCATTTTTAATGTAAATTGTTTATATTTAAAAATAAAGTAAAATCTACTTCTGTGAAATTGGAACTAGGGTTTTCTTTTTTTAATTATTGATTTTTTTAAAAAAACGGGAGATACGTTTCTTTTTCCAACAGAAAAAAAGAGTGTTACATTTTTTAAAAAAGAGATCAACAATCAATCCTCCTTATATCTTTTCCACCAAAGTCTAGTTGCTGCCTTGTGCCCCTCCTGCCCCCCACCACTACCGCTGAGGCTAAGGACCCGTCAGGCCACGGCACTTCTGAAGAAGCTCTGAACAGCCTCAAAAACATGAAGTTCAAATGGCCCATGCCTTACCCACTTAGGACACTAGTGCTTATAAGGCTAATGCGCTTATAAGGGCCACACCAAAACTAAACCAAACCCACTGCAATCAAGTTGATCCCAACTCAAGCAACCCAAAGGGTTTCCAAAATTATAATATTTAAGGAAGCAAACCGACACATCTTTCTTCCACGGAGCAGCTGGTAAGTTTGAACTGCCAATCTTTCAGTTAGCAGCTGAGCCCTTATCTACTGCACTACCAGCATTTCTCAGAAGAACTATAAGAGGTTTCTAAATGTCTAGCAAGTCTTTCCAACAAAGGAGAAAGTCAGAGGTGAACAAGAATGAATACAAACTACCTGTAGCTTCCTGAAAGCTAGTGACTACTGAATAAAGCAAAGTGGTTCAGAGGGAACTGTCAGTGACCAGTGAGGCCACTGGAAGGACAAATTTGAGCTATGGAGCAAAAAAAAAAAAAAAGAAAGAAAGAAAGCTGGTTGAACAAGAGAAAAGGAAATAGGGAAGTTCTAAACATTAAATCAAGACATTTGAGTGGGGCCTAGAAACTTGGGCCTAAAACAGGGCTCACTTGCCCAGACCCAAGAAAGACCTAAGACCTCTTTGTCCTCTCAGCAGGGCAGCTCTCACCTCCGCTCAGGCTTCCTGAGCCCTCCCTGGAGGGCAGCAGAATTCAGCAGGGCAGTGTCTCTGAAATTTCATTTTTCAATCTGAAAAACACACACGTATTCTGAATCCTACTCCCTAATGTTGCCATGTTTGCTTGCACACAAACACAATGATAATTTTTTTTTCCTGAATTTTCTTATAAAATAAGCATCTGGTGTCTGCCTTAAGCGTTACGCTCTCTTGAGGACTATCTCTATGGGATCAAAGTGACAGCAGCAACTGAAAGATCAGACGAACCTTCAGGGACAGTGAGTTTATGTGACTGGGGGAGGAACAAGTCAGAAAAGGAGGGTGAGAAAGGTTGCACAACTCGAAGAAGGTATTCAGTGTCACTGAACCATGTATGTGGAAATTGTTGAATTGGTGTGTGTTCTCTTGTATGTATTCGCAACAACAACAATCAAAAATAATTATTTAAAAAAAAAAAAAAAGGCATCTGAGGGGAAAAAGACAGCAGAGACAAATTGTATGCCCTAGGGCTAGTCACTTTACCTCTCTGGATCTTAGGTTTCTCAACCAAAGAAAGAAAGAAAGAGAGAGAGAGAGAGAAGAAAGAGAAAAACAATGAAAGGACTAGAATATAAATTTTCCCCTCAGTTTTGAAAGTTATATAATTCTATTCTAACGTCATAAGAACAACGGAAATTAGATCATAACTCACATAGTAAAATATAAAATAATCTAAAAGTATGAGCTCCTAACCTTAGGCTCAAGGCTTACCTTTACAATCCTCAGGAAATAATCAGGTTGCTCCCACATATCACTTAGAGCTCCTTTCATTGTTACATAAACCAAAACCAAACCACTGCCATGGAGTTGAATCTGACTCACAGTGACCCCCACAAGGTTTCCAGGGCTGTAAATTTTTATGGAAATAGACTGCCTCATCTTCCTCCCATGAAGCAGCTGGTGAGTTTGAACCACCATCCTTCTGGTTAGCAGCTAAATGCTTTATCCACTGTACCACGAGAGGTCCTTTCAGTGTTACACAGTGAGCCAGAAAACAAACAATAAAAATATTTCAACAAGAGGAGGTTGTTAAATCAATTATGGAAGTTTCCATAAATTAGAATTATTTAGTCACGTGAAGCCATGTTTTAAAGAATATGTATGTTTCAGTTACCTAGTACCACTCTAACAGAAGTTACCACAAATGGGATGGCTTGAACAAACAGGAGTTTATTCTGTTACGGTTTGGAGGCTTTAAGTCCGAGTTCAAAGCGCCAGGCTCTTGGGGCTGGGTGAAAGCCCCTCGACCTTGGGCTTCAGCTCTGCCTCCTGTTCTCAGCCCACTGGAGCTAGAGGCTTTTCTTCACTCAGACAGCTACTGGCTGCTGAGGCTGATAAGCCCAAGGTTGACAAATAAAAAGGCGCAGTCCTGATGTTACCAAACCACTTGGCAGGCCATTAATTCAAGTCCATTGAAATTCCCAAGGTCGGCAAAGGCTGCTGAACAATGACACGGCTACATGCAGGGTTCAAGTGTGCCATAAGCTAGAGGCCATTACCCAAGGCTTCTCCTTATATACAGGAAGCAGACCACATCCCAAAGGCAGCTGCTGAGCAGCTCCCAGTAGATTCCACCATGGAGCTGATTGCCAGTCTCATCATGGGAAGTACTACATCCAGCTGCCCAGCCACTCAACCAGGCCCAGCCAAGATGACACATGACCTTAACTACCACAGTATCACACGCAAAACTGCTATAATATCCATATCCATAGATACAGATCAAAGTATAACCATTACAGTAGCAGATGGATAGGTGATTTATTTTCTTCTTCATGTGTCTCTATTTTCCACATATTCTAAAATGTATAAGTATTTCATTTAAAATTTAATATATTTAAACTAGCACTTAATTTTTTTAAGCATCATGGCAAAAAGTTTGTTTGTTTGTTTGTTTTTCCAAACTCTGGGGTTCTAGACACAAACAGTTAAACACTCAGCTACTAATGGAAAGGTTGGCAGTTTGAATCCACTCAGGGGCACCTCAGATGGAAAGCCTGGTGATCTACTTCCCAAAGGTCACAACCACTGAAAACACTATGGAGGGTAGTTCTACTCCACAACACATAGGATCACCCTGAGTTGGAATCAGTTCAACAGCAACTGATCTGGTAGTTAGAATTCACCCCTGGATAAAGCAGCCAAGTAACTCAGAGTCAATGTTCAGGAGTCCACAGGGTAAAACTCAAGAGCTGTTCTCATAGGTTCCAGGCCTAGTCTCCCCTTCCAGGTCAGGTCGACTCCCACGTGGGCCCAGCAATTTCTCCTTATAGAAGAGACTCAGAAAGAACTGGCACAGGAGGACCTCCATCCCCAATAGGGCTCTCTGTTGGGAGCTCTGAAAAGCACCTGCTCCCACTGGCCAGCCCCTGTTAACTGGAAGGGCAGGAAGGTGGCAGGCACTATCACTCACCTGGGTCAAACCTCACCACCAAGAGGCAGAGGATCAAGGCAGCCAGGAGGCTCTTTTTGAAGGGCAGTGAGAAGACATGGCTCACTGCAGAATCCCAAAGCCGGCGAAGCAACATCAGTACTGACAGGAACTTGTGGGAGGAGGAGTCTGGGCAGAAAGACAGAGCTTAACTTTAGGGTACGTCACAAGGATCAGCTCTCCTGATGCTGAACTTTGAGCTTGATTATAAGATTTGAGCAAAAGGAAATGAGACTCAAACACAACAGTCAGAACAGTTCACACATTGTGAAGAATGCGACATTGGTTCATGTGTTCATGCTCATGTTTAGAAACTGTTGAATGACAATCTAAACTGCTATGTAAACCTTCACCAAAAATAAAACATTATTGTTTAGATTGGAAAAAAAAAAAGAAATGAAACTCATGTAGCTAATTAAGGCTAATTAAGTAGTTCTAAGAGAATTCCAGAAGCTTCAAAAATGTTTTAAGGACAGTTAAGGAAATGTTTATATATTGGAGGACATTTTCTTTGTTGGTTACCAGGGGTGGGAGGGATGGGGAGGGAATGCTGTTAGATAGATAGAGATAAATATTGATTTGGGTGAAGAGAAGGGCAATGTACCAAATGTGAGTGACCAATATGGCAGCATTGAGGATGAGAAAGACAGAGAGAGTTACATGGGCATTACAAACAACAAATATGAACCCCTTTGTAAATACAATACTGAGTTGTTAATGAAAGCAAATATGGGTATAGGGACGGATAGATGGGTGAACAAGCTAAACAATTATGTATGTCTAAATGGAGAGTGTATCCAAGATCATATACAGGGTTGGCAGAAAATGGGCCTCTCGAAGAGTATGAAGGGATGGACACTGGGAGGAGGTAACTATGGGGAGGAAGTGGGAGGGGAGCTGCTGCATTGTAAATTTTGGTCAATGACATGAGACAAAGTATATGTGAACTGCTGTATGAAAAGTGAATTTACTCTGTAAATCTTCACCCAAATCCTAATAAAAAAAAAAATAAAAATAAAATAAAAAAATGTTTTAAGGACAGACTACATCACCAGAACATCACCTCTTAAGAAAGGACTCTGATAAACAACATCTACTCAGCTGAGCAAACCTGGCATATTTGGTGGGGTTTTGTTTTATCTTTAATGGGCTCATTAGACTAGTCGGGTTTTTTTTGTTTTGTTTTGTTTTGTTTTTTTAATTTCAGCCTAAGATCTGATATATGCATAGAACTACACAAAGCACTAGCTCTTGATCCTCATGCTAATGCAGGGAAGAAAAAAGCACCTAAAACATACAGTGAAGAATTCAAAAGTTTTGGATTGTAAATATAAACATGAACATTCTTGTTGTTAGGGGCCGTAAAGCTGACTTCAACTCATAGCAATCCCATAGACAGAGTAAAAATTCTCCATGGGGTTTTCTAGGCTTAAATCTTTATGAGTGTAGATCACCAGGTCTTTCTCCTGAAGAAGTGGGTTCAAACCACTACCTTCTGTTTACCAGCCAAGTGCTTAACCATTATGCCACGAGGGCTGCTTATGTCAACACTCCAAAAAGCAAAACCCTACCCCATTGCTGGCAAGTGGATTCCAACTCATAGTAACACTATAGGACAGGTACAATTGCCCCATAATGTTCCCAAGGTTGTAAATCTTTACAGAAGCAGCTGCCACATCTTTCTCCCACAGAGAGCCTGGTGGGTTCGAACCACCAACCTTTTGATTAGCACTTTAACTACAACCACTGAACCACCAGGCCTCCTTCATATGAACACTCAAAACAAAAAACCAAACTCACTGCCATTGAGTCACTTCTGACTCATAGCAATCCCCACTGGGTTTCCAAGGCTGCAAATCTTTATAGAAGCAGACTGCCTCATCTTTCTTCTGCAGAGCGGCTAGTGGGTTTAAGCCACTGACCTGTCAGTTAGCAGCCAAATGCCTCAACAACGACACCACCATCACTCCTTTCATGTGAACACTAACCAAACCAAAACCAAACTCACTGCCATCGAGTAGACTGGACTCATAGCAACCCCTCCTTGGGTTTCTGAGGCAGTAGCTCTAGGGAAGTAGATTGCCCAGTCTTCCTTCCGAGGAGTAGCTGGTGGGTTTGAACTGCCAGCCTTCTGGTTTGCAATAAAATGCTACCAACCCAAAAATAAGTGCTGCCCAGTCCTGACAGAACCACCTGAATTTGCCATCAAGTCCCTTTCCCTCATTCTTTCCTTCCCAGGAGGAGGAAGGGAAGAGAGTTTGGGCAGCCACAGATGATCCTGGAAGATGACGACCTGCTTGCAAAGATGTGATCCCATCTCAGCAGGTTCATGTTCTTAAGCACATAAAAACACTTTGGAGAAAAGGACTGAAAAGGATCAAAATCTCCCACTAGCTGAGGGTCTTTCTACAAAACAAAAGGAATTACACTTATACTACATGTTACCAGGAGTCCCTGGGTGGTACAAACAGTTAACACACTCAGCTGTTAACCAAAAGATTGGAGGTTCTAGTCCACCCTGAAGTGCATGGGAAGAAAGGCCTGGTGACCTACTTAAAAAAAAAAAAAAAAAAAAGTCAGCCATTGAAAACCCTGTAGAGCACAGTTCTACTCTGACACACATGGGGTCGCCATGAGTCAGAATCAACTTGACAGCAACTGGTTTGGACTGGCTTTATATGTTACCAAGACAAAAAAGCCAAGGATCAGGAGGTAAAAACTATCCAGAGAAAAATGTAAACTCAACATAAGGAAGAACTTCCTATAAAAACATCCATGGATGAAATGAGCTGCTTCAAGAGAGTCAACTTTCTGTCCTTGGAAGTTTTCAAGTATAGACTAGATGACCACTTGTGGGAAGGGAACTGAAAAGGATGTAAGGGTCAGAGGACGGGTCCAGAGTAGAAGACCTTTCAAGTGCCTCTGTAACAAACCCACCCCCACACCCACACTGACACCTGTGTATGTACCCCTTGTACGATGCTAGCTAGATAAATGATGTTGAGACTTGAAGTGGTTTTCCTATAGAAGCCATATTATAAAACTGCATCCTAATGGGCAGGAGTAGGGTGCCCCTGAAAAAAAAACAAACTTACTGCTGTCGAGTCAATTCTGACTCGTAATGATCCCGCCTTGGGCTTCCGAGGTGGTATCTCTACAGAAGCAGATTGCCCAGTCTGTTTTCTGAGGAGTGGTTGGTGGGTTTGAACCGCCAGCCTTCTGGTTAGCAGTCAAATGCCTAGGCACTACGCCACCAGAACTCCCAGAGCTGCCCCTGAAGGGTAAGTTATTAATCACAGAAGACACTCAAGAGTTTTAGTAAGTAAAGGACACTGGGCAGGGCAAACCCAAGCCAAAGATAAGTAATTTTTATCTCATAAGTCAAGTAACTAAGTTATCATCTTTGCTTCTTATTTTTCCTTTGGTTATCCCCAAGCTTATGTCAGCTGAGTCTATATTTGGGGCAGCATTCAAAGGAGGAGTAACATCCCACCCACGCCAGCATGGTAGAGGCAAGTGATCTAGTGAGAGAACCTCAAGGAGAAGGTGACTGATCAGACCCCAAAGAGAAGATGACTTTCGAGAGATCACAATCAAGCTTCTAAGACCCACCTACACCTCCCTACATGGAGATCCTCCCTCTGACAACTTCAGAGGGCTTTAGGGAACAACTGGACAGGTTGTTCATTCTGTGGTTTGGGAGTTGCTCATAAACAGCATGGTTCCCAAGCTCTCGATAATGTTGTAAGGGATGCCAGGTCCAGGGAAAGCCCACAACTCCACTTTACACAGACCAGAGAGAGATAATGTCCTACCTGCCTGGTTTGGCTCCTGGGCCTCCTCCGAGACTGGGTGTTCATGTCTCTGCTGTTGCCTGGCCATGTGAATGGCCTGGCGTGCATCCAGCCGCTGCTCTTCACCAAAGGCCGCAGAGCCCGCCACTAGCTCCTCAGCCTCTGATAAGCATCCCAGAGGCAGCAGTACCCGTTGCAGGTGAAGATCTGCCAAGAATCTGTATTCAGGAAGGCTGTGATTGTCTGGGTCTCTGAGCCAGGCACTGACCACATCCAGCATGGCTCCAGGCTCTTGCATTTTGCTGTATAAAAGAACACTGCAGCCCCAAATAACCAACCCCAAAGAAAGAACAGTCAGTTTTCCACTACTGATTCATTTCTCATAACCACTACATATCTCCTGTCCAAACCCTGTGTGTGTGTGTGTGTGTGTGTGTCCTCCAATCCCCATGGGATGCCAACATTGGTAAGAATTAGGAATTTTAGGAAGTATCAAGAAACTCTCTCAGTCAAGAACAGAAGGATATGGAATGTGTGGCTAATTGCTTCCATGAACAATTGCCTCCTTTGTCATGAGACCAGAAGAACTAGGTGATGCCCAGCTACTATTATTGAACATTTTGATCAAAGATTCTATAGAAGAATTCTGATCCAAAGTGTGGACATGCAAACAAAATTTCAAATTCTCATGGACTTCAGACTTTCTGGAGCCATGAAGGTTAGATGAACTCCTGGGATAATCTTTAAACCTTAAAACTGGAAATATCCCCTAAAGTCTTCTTAAAATTAAACAATAGTATAGCTTAACTGGTAAAAAAAAAAACTGCCTTGAACATTATGTCCTTTTAAGAACTATCTACATGAGATCAAATTGATGACAATAATTCAAAAAATTAGACTGCAAGTTTAGGGGATAGTTAATTAATGTTAACAGGGAACAACTCAGAAAAACAGTGAGAATGGTCACACAACTAGAAGAATGTAATTGGTGTCACTAAATTGTACACACAGAAACTATAACTGGTATGTTTTGCTGTGTATATTCTCAACAAAAAAAAAATAATACTTCAAACAAAAAAAGAAAAAAATCCTCTCAACTCTGGCCCGCCCCACATCTACCTACTTCACTCCTCCTATTTTCCATGCTCTGTCTCTTCCCCTTTTCCTCTACCCTATTCCTAAATTCTTCTTCCTCATCCTTTATTGCTTCTTTGAGATCTTCAAAAATAAAACTGGAAAATAATTATTTAGAGAGACAATGGTAGGGAAAGGGGAAAAGAAGAGCTATTAGGTACTAATTCAGAAGAGGACACGAACTCCCTTGTTCCTGAACTGATCTCATGAGTCAGCAACAAGGACCTACCATAGCTCTAGGACTTTGGGGGGTAGCTTTTCAGGGACCTGGTAATACTGAAGGACCCAGGAGAGGACTTCTTGCCACCGATCCATTTCTGCTAAGGCCTGGATCCCCACAACACACAGGGAACATTTCACCTCCAAGGAGCTGTCAGCAGAAAAACCAATTAATTGGTTTACAAGTGGTTCCCCTCCATTTCCACTTCCATGTGCACTCTTTCCCAGCCCCCAGCTCAGCAGCCTTCACCTCTATCCTACCCATTAGCACTCAGTGGGGACTCACTATTGGTCTTGTGACCCAGCAGAGAGAAACTGGCACTTTCTTCCATGAGTTAATAATTCTTGTACTGAATTATACATGTGAAGAATGTTGAAATAGCAAATATTTTGTTACATATACATTGACCACAATTAAAAAAAGAAAAAAAGCTTCCTGTAAATTCCTTAGGGGTAGATCAACTGTTGCCCAACACATGTCTTTGTATCCAGGTAAAATCAGGTGTCAATAAACAGGCAGGGTAATCCTGAAGGGTAATGACAACATCCAGCCCACTGTGTGGGTGGAAAGAGGCCTGGAGCTAAACCTTTGCCTTTAATGAAGAGATGGGGCCATTGAGCAAGGCTGAATGTGGAACTCCATACCTGGGTTTTTAGCACCACCTAGTGAGGTGCCTCCCAACACCCAGCATCACAGCCTTCAGCATTCACTGCAACAAGTTCTCACACAAACCCCCAAAACTCAGGCCAGGGATCTCCAGTTCATACCAACTCCCCAGTATGGCCTAAACAACTCTACCATCCACTCATGGTGCCCTCAACTGCCAGAAGAGGCTACTAGCAGGATAAAGGTTTTCTCAGGATGAATTCTTTAGTCGAGTCCTGCAAAAGGACCAGAGCATAAATCCTGCCCTGTCCCCTATTCCCCCTCATCAGCAAAGGTCAAGTGTGAACATTTTGGGGGTTATCTAGGAGAGGGTTTTCTCACCTGCTTACTGACATAAGGCTTACTACACATTCTACCACTGGTACATGGAGCTCCCCAGGGAGCAAAGAATTGGCTGTGGGGTTCCACTAAACTCTGTTACACGATTTAAACACGTCTTCATTATGCAGTGTCTCAGTTTCCTCTTCTGTGAATGGGTAAATGGTGAGCAACCCACCTCTCAGAAAGGAACCACTAATGAAAAAAGGTGTAAAGCTCCTTGTGAGCAATATCGAATGACAGAAATCCCGAGATTACGGAACTCTTCCCAAGAGCACCCGGAAATGAACTGAGCCTAGCACATACGTGCGGGCTTGCTCCTCAGCATGGGCAGAGGCCAGGTGCCCCAAGGCCCGCTCGCAGGTTTCCAGCGCCGCGCGGAAGTCCAGGTGCACCACCAAGAGGTCGGCCGCCTCCTCCAGTAGAACCATAGCCGGCGAAAGGGCTGGGGTGGTATGCACCGGCTCGCTGCTCCGGAGGGGACCCCCGAGGCCCCTGAGGGAGGCTGCAGATGTCGATGAATCGCTTTTCATAGCCAGCCTAGGCTCAGGGCAGTCTCAGACGTCAGGATGGGCCTAGGAGAAAAGGAAGAGTCCTCATATCCCCTGCCCACAGCTCTTGCCCAGGCTGATCCTTGCAAAAGGAAAGGGAAGGGGCTATATCTAAAGCTGTTTCAGCCTCAAAACAGCCCAGGAATCTGGGCAACCAGCTCACACCACGGATCTGCAGAATTGCTGCACCCCTGGAATACCTGGTTCTAGCTCCTCTGGCCCTAGGGCATGTCCCGGCACACCTTAACCCTGTTACGTGCAGGTCCAGGCTCCTTTTTATGAACACAAAAGACAACCTTCACTATTAGAACCGAGTTGACATCTTCTCTGCCGCAGAACCGCTGCTTCCTGGCGGCGCAGAGGACTCTGGGACTTGTAGTTCTCAGTCGCCCTCTTGACGTAAAAAGAGGATTTCATACTACAACCCCCAGCATGCCTCGCCCCTGGAATTGCCATTGTCAGGGGAGAAAAGAAACTGCAACAACCACTTCGGGATCTGGAAATAGGAGCAGATGGATTTTTAACAAAACTGAAGCTGTTTTTTGAAATGGAGTGGCCCCCTCACTAACAGGCTCCAGCTGAGGCCAAACAGAAGAAATTCTAGTAAAGGGGGTGAACTGAATGCACCCTTCTGAGTTTCTATGGGAGTGACGATTAGGACTTTAGGAGAGCAACCCAGGAAAGGTACTGAAAGCAAACAGCAGAGCTGACCATTTTTCCTTAGTGTGTCCTTCTTCCCAGTCCTGGCTCACATTTTGGGGGGTGGGGGAAAGTTGCTGTGGAGGCAATTCTGAGTAATAGTGATCCTGTACATGCCAGAGTATAGAACTGTACTCCCTCGGGTTGGTTTTTTGTTTGTTTCACTTTTATTGTGGTGAAAACATACAAGACATTCGCCAACATAACAACGTCCACATTTACAGCTCAGGGACATTGATGACATGTTTCGTGTTGTGCCCCCATTATTGTATCCTTTTTCAAAATATTCCACTGCCATTACATAAACTCAGTGCCACCCAAACAAAAACTTCCCCTTTCCCCCTCCCTTCTACCCCTCGTAACCATGAACAATCTCTGGTTTATATATATTTTTAAAACCTGTCTAGAAATTTTCCCTCCCCTCCCATTCCTTCCCATCTCTAGTAACCAACAAAGAAAGTTTCCTTATAAATTTTTCATTGACTTTTTACAATAGTGGACTAATGCAATATTTGTCCTTCTGTGATTGATTGATTTCGCTCAGCATAATGTCCTCCAAGTTCATCCACATTATGTGGTGTTTTGCAGATTCTACATTATTCTTTAGGGTTGCATAGTATTCCATTGTGTGTATGTACCACAATGTTAATCTATTCCTCAGTTGATGGCCACTTAGGTTGTTTCCATCTCTTTGCAATTGTGAATAGTGCTGCAATGAACATAGGTGTGCATATATCTGTTCATGTCTTGCTTCTCACTTCTTTAGGATATATACCTAGTAATGGGATTGCTGGGTCAAATGGTATTTCTATTTCCAACTTTTTAAGAAATTGCCATACGGATTTCTACAGTGGTTGTATCATCTTACAGTCCCACCAGCAGTGTATGAGAGTCCCAATCTAACCATATCCCTCACCAGCATTTGTTATTTTCTGTCTTGTTGAACTTTGCTGTTAGTGCTGGGGTGAGATGTTATCTCACAGTTGTTTTGAGCTCTGGTAGCATAGTGCCTAAGGCACTTGACTGCTAGCCAGAAGGTGGAGTTTCAAACCTACCAGCCACTCCTCAGAAGAAAGGTTGGTCAATCTACTTCCGTAGTGAAACGGCCTCGGAAGCCCAAGGAGGGGTCGCTATGAGTCCAACTCCATGGAACATAACAACAACAACAATGGCTAATGATCACGAACATATCTTCATGTGTTTGTTGACTGCCTGGATATCTTTCTTTCTGAAGTGTCTGTTCATGTCTTCTGCCCATTTTTTCATTGTTTGTCTTTTTCACGTTGAGGTGTTGGAGTTTTCTATGAATTTTAGAGATAAGGTCTTTGTCCAATATGTCATTGCTGAATATTTTTTCTCATTCTGTTGGTTGTCTTTTAGAGAAGTCTTTTGATGCATGTAAGAATTTAATTTTTAGAAGGTCCCAATCATCTAGTTTATCTTCTGCTGTTTGTGCATCTTGGGTTATGCTTGATAATCTATTTATGCCATAAATTAGGGCCCCTTCTTTTTCTTCGATGAATTTGATAGTTTTAGCTTTCACATTTTAAGTCTTTGATCCATCTGGAGTTAGTTTTTGTGTATGGTATGAGGTTTTAGTTGTCTGCAAATGTGTATCCGGTTTTATCAGCACCATTCGTGAAAGAGACTATCTCTTCCCCATAAAATAGATCTCAGCCCTTTGTCACCTTTGTCACAGATCAGCTGACCATAGGTCGATGGATCTATTTCTGGCTTCTCGATTCTGTTCCACTGGTCTGTGTGTCTGTCGTTGTACCAATACCAGGCTGTTTCGACAACTGTAGCTATATAGTAGGTTTTGAAATCTGGGAGTGTGAGACCTCCTACTTTGTTCTTCTTCAAGTACTTTGCTTATCCAAAGTCTCTTTCCTTTCCACATAAAATTAATGATTGGTTTTTCCATGTCTTTAAAGAATGTAGATGGAATCTGGATCAGGATTGCATTGAATGTATAAATTGCTTTGGGTAGTATTGACATTTTCACCAGGTTCAATCTTCCTATCCATGAGCATGGTATGTTCATCCAATTATGTAGCTCTTTTATAATTTCTTGAAGCAGCATTTTGAAGTTTTCTTTTTACAAGTCTTTTGTGTCACTGGTAAGATTTATTCCCAAGTATTTTATCTTTTTGGTAGCTATTATAAATGGTATTGATTTTTTCATTTCTTTTCAGAGACTTCCTTGCTGGTGTAGAGGAATCCAACTGATTTTTGCATGTTGATCTTGTATCTTGCCACTATGCTAAATCTTTCATTAAGTGGTTTTCTTGCTGAGTCTCTTGGGTTTTCTATGTATAGGATCATATCATCAGCAAATAAGGATGGTTTTACTTCTTCCTTACCAATTTGGATGCTTTTGATTTCCCTTTCTTGCCTTATTAACCTGGCTAGAACTTACAATACAATGAAGAGAAGTGGAGATGGAGGACATCCTTGTCTTATTCCTGTTCACAAGGGGAATAGTTTCAGTCTCTCTCCATTGAGAATAATGTTGGCTGTTGGTTTTGCATATATGCCCTTTTATGTTGAGGAATTTCCCTTCTATTCCTGTTTTTCTGAGAGTTTTTATCAGGAATGGGTGTTGGATTTTATCAAATGTTTTTTCTGCATTGATTGATTTGATCATGTGGTTCTTTTCCTTTGTTTTATTTATGGGATGGATAACATTGGTTGTTTTTCTAATGTTGAACCATCCTTACATACCTGTTATGAATCCCACTTGCTCATGATGTGTTATTTTTTTGATGTGTTGTTGGAGTCTATTGGCTAGGATTTTGTTGAAGATTTTTGCTTCTATATTCATGAGGAATATTGGTCTGTAGTTTTCCTTTTTAGTGATGTCTTTGCCTGGTTTTGGTATCAACACTATGCTTGCTTTGTTAAATGAATTAGGAAGGATTCCATCTTTTTCTATGTTTTGGAATAGTTTGAAGAGGATTGGTGTCAGTTCTTCTCTGAATGTTTGGTAGAATTATCCGGTGAAACCGTCTGGGCCAGGACTGTTCTTTTGTTGGTAAGCTTTTTATGACCTGTTCAATTTCTTCTTTAGTTATGGATCTGTTAAAATTTTCTACCTCAGTCTGTGTTAGTTTAGGGTGGCATAGTGCCTAAGGCATTTGACTGCTAACCAGAAGGCTGGAGGTTCAAACCCACCAGCCACTCCTCAGGAGGAAGATTGGGCAATCTACTTCTGTAGTGATACCACCTCAGAAACCCAAGGAGGGGTCGCTATGGGTTGCGTCCGACTCGACGATGTTGAGTTTGGTTTTGGTTTTTGGAGTGTGTTTCTAGAAATCTGTCCATTTCTTCTAGGTTTTCAAATTTGTTGGAGTACAGTTCTTCGTAGTATCCTGATACTATTCTTTTTATTTCTGTTGGTTCTGTTGTGACATCACTCCTTTCATTTTCTTTATTCATGTTATTTACATCATCTCCATCTTTTCCTTTGTTAAGTTTGTCAGTGGTTTATCAATTTTATTAATCTTTTCAAAGAACTAACTTATATTCTTGCTGATTTTTCCCATTGTCTTTCCATTTTCTGTTTCATTTATTTCTGCTCAAATCTTTATTACTTCTTTTCTTCTGGTGAATGTAGGCATTTTTTTGCTGCTCTTTTTCTAATTGTTGTAGATGTTGGGTTAAAGTATTGGTTTCAGCTCTCTCTTCTTTTTTGATGTATGTATCTACTGTTATAAATTGGCCTCTAATCACTGCTTTTGCTATGTCCCAAAGATTTTGGTATGTTGTATTTCCATTCTCATTTGCTTCAAGGAATTTTTGAATTTCATTTTTTATTTCTTCTATTACTCAGTCATTTTTGAGGAGGGTGTTATTCAATTTCCATGTGTTTGCTCTTTTACCATTGGTCTTCCCAGTTTTATAGCATTGTGATCTGAGAAGAAGCTTTGAAGTATTTCCATGTTTGTAAATTTATCGAGGATGCTTTGTGGCCTATGATCTATCCTGGAGAATGGTCCATATGCGCTGGAAAAGAATATGTATTTTGCTGTTGTTGGGTGAAATGCTCTGTAGATGTCTATAAGGTCAAGTTGGTTGATTATGTTGCTTAGTTCTTCTGCACCTTTGTTGAGTTGCTTTCCAGTTGTTCTATGTCTTATTGAAAGTGGTGCATTAAAGTCTCCTACTATTACTGTGGAGTCATCTATTTGTCTTTTCAAATTCTATTAAAGTCTGATTTATGTATTTTGGGGCTCTTTTATTGGGTGCATAGATATTTATTATGATTGTGTCCTCCTGTTCAA